TAAAAATGCAACTAGCCGTATACTAATAGATATTAACAAATAACATAAATGATGATATCTATTCAAAGTGCTCTTATGCCCTACAAGCTACAATATGAGTGAATCACTAAATATTCAAAATCGAAAATAGAAGCTGATCTGGATCTCGAAAAAGCAAGTGGCGGTAGCTCACCGAGATGTGCATTGCAGCAGAGATGATGATCAGAGGCAGGAGCTGCAGGAGCAGGGGGGGAGGCGGCCGGCCGGGAGCAGCAGGAACAGGCGTGGCTGGCCGGCCACGGCGGAGGGCAGCCGGCGGGAGGCGGCTTGCCGGCTTGGCCGCTTGGGGAGGAGACCAAGAGAAGGCAAGGAGGAGAACCAGGCAGGCCATGTAATGGGGCAATGACAGGGGAGAGCCGGAGGACGGCGCCGAGGCCGGAGAATGTTGGGAGGAGATGGCGTGGGAGGGAGATGGGAGGCCAGGAGGGGAGGGGGTGCCGGGCGGTGACCTTGGGGACGAGGTCGGGCAGGGCATATGCTGTGTGCTGGCCATGGCAGCACATGGCAGTGGGCGTGGTGTGGCACAGACACATGCATGGTAGGGTGTGGTGTGTGTGTGTGGTATGTGGCCCATGCATGGCAATGGCGGTGTGGTAGTAGCATGTGACCACATGGGCCAGCCAAGTGTGGTGTGCGGGCGGGGTGATGGTGGTCATGGGTGCATGGCGGGGTGTGAGTGGATAGGGTTATCCTTCCTTTTTTATTTTTTAAAACAACAGCCTGGCCTTTCCAGTTGCCGTAAAGCGCATCGGTCACACGCGGCTTACATCTGATCGGCAAATCCTTTTCTTGGGTGAGGGATCGTTAAAGATTTTTTTTGGTTTTTGGTTCCAATTTTTTTCTGTGGGCTAAACATATTGTTTCAAGTACAATGTACAAATTTGGGACCTTTTGATGATATTTTGCTATATTTTATACAATTATTTTATTTCCTTGCATTTTCTCGCATAGTCCAAATTTAAGCTTTGGTGCATAAAATAATCAATTTTGACCATTAGAAAAATAATATTCATGTTGAAGAGTGTATTTTTAGACCATGTACATGAGCCCACCCAAAAATTAGAAGGTCTTGTTCTTGAGATGACAATCCGGTCTTGATGAAGTATTTTTCAATTATAAAAATTCAAGCGTAATACGAAAATCACGAAACTTGGCAAGACATCATGATATCGTATGTGGAGACTATGGTAAAAAATTGAAAATGTTTTGAATAAGTTTCGTAAATCGATGTCCAAAACTCGATATCTCACATGTGATCACATATGATATCACATGTGAGATATGGGAGTTTTGGACATCGATGACGCATAACTTGCTCCAAACATCGTCAAATTTTTACCATGGTATCCGTGATATGATAACATGACACCTCGCCAAGTTTTGTGATTTTGATTTCGTTTGGATTTTTATAATTAAAAAATACTAATACCGCAGACGGATGGTCATCCGTCAGGACAAGACCTTCAATTTTTGAGTGGGTTCATGTACATGGCCTAAAAATACACTCTTCAACATGAATATTATTTTTCGAACTACGCTGCTTTCATTATTTCATGCACTGCAGTTCAAATTTGACTATGCGAGAAAATGCAAGGAAATAAAATAATTGAATGAAATATAGCAAAATATCATAAAAGGTCCCAAATTTGAACATGAGATTTCAAACAATATGTAACGCCTACGTAAAAAAACTGGGATAAAAATAATAATAATAAAAAATCTTTGCCGATCGTTGTTAGATACCTTCAACGATCTAAGAAGACTTACTCTTTTGCCGATCGCCTAACATGGCGATCGGGAAAGAGCTTCTTTGCCGATCGCCTTTCCTTGGCGATCGGCAAAGAGAGGGCAGGCCTTTGCCGATCGCTAACGGAGGGCGGTCGGCAAAGCCGACTACCGGAATTCCGCCCCGTCAAACCACTTTTTTGAAGGTCTGTCTTTGCCGATCGTCTTTTGCGATCGGCAAAGACCTCTTTACCGACCGCCAGCCCTTTGCCGATTTGCCTTTGAGAGGCTTTGTCGATCGCCGAGCTCTTTGCCGATCGCCGAGAGAAAAGCGAGTCGGCAAAGAGTTTTTGCCGATTGCTGGAGAAAGGCGGTCGGGAAAGAGATCAGCAATTTAAGAAAGCCTGATTTTCCTGTAGTGTATAGCATGAATGAAGCATGTGCAAAAACTACACAATATATAATATTTAATTAACAATTTAAATATCTTTGGGGGACGTCAATGCAAGCTGCTGAATTGACCCATCGTCTGCAGTCATGTAGTGTACTGTATTCACAGCCACAAACGTCCACAACTCAAGTAAATTAAACATTCTGATTCAAAATATACTCCCTCCATGCATACTCAAAAATAAAGTCGTTTTGAAAAAGACTTGAGTCAAACATTGAGAATATAAAATCATGAATAACTTTTAAATTGTTATTCACAGCCACAAACGTCCACAACTCAAGTGTTTGATCTTGAAGTTGGTCCGCAGAGCCATTTGATTGATGTTCCAAGGGTGGGTGGATTTAGTGGAGTTGCATCTCAAGATAAAGTGACCAGTGTTGCACGTGCTTGTAAGCAGCTTATCCCTCGTACTTTTGTCCCGACGTTGAAATTCTGTTATGATAAGGCTGATAGGACAGTGTATTGCCTCGCTGCTAATGATCAAGTCGCCGAAACCTATTGTGCTTACTCTGTTCTAGTTGGTGAAGTTAATGTCACATTTTGTAAAGTCAGTAGTATTGTGATGAGGAAGAATTCAGTTACAGCATACTTTGATGTTGATATCACTGTTAAGGTATGTTTTCTTATTCTTTTTCCTTTTCTTGTTTCCTATGAGTCGATGTTAAATATTCTTGCATGTTTCTATTATTTATCTTTTTCTTTATATCATTTTTATATTTTCATTTTAGCTTAGTTTTCATTTTTTATATTCTTTAATGCTTCTATTTTAGTTTCAGTTAATTTTCATTGAACTGAATGTAGTTCAGTTATCGTTCTTTAATTTTCAGTGTACTGAATCTATTTCAGTTTAGGTTCTGTGTATGAGTTTCACTTTAGTTTCAGTATTCAACTGCCATTTTTCAATAATCAGCATCGACCGAAAGTATTGCTGCCTGTTACTTAGACTAGGAAATTGTGTACCTATTTATTTATTTTTGAATTTTTCATTTTTTTTGTACAGAGAAATTGTTCTAGTACTATTCTTGAAAACGAAGTTGTCTCCATGTTTGTTTTTGAGAACATGGACTTAGTTCCTGGAGACCAATCCAGTGTCAATGCTGTGAAAGATTTGGACACCCAAGATAAGGTGAAGCTAGTTGCTAGGCTTGCCAGGAAAAGCTGTGGGCCTTCGTTTGTTCCCAAGTACAAGTATGCTTTGGATTCAGGGAACCAAACTGTTTATGTGCTAGTCGGCGACGTGAAGATGCTGAATCTATGACTGGCTGTTGTTTTCGAGTGGATGGTAAACATGTGTCTTTTTCCGTGTGCTTAAGATTCAAGCGAGCTTAGGATGATGACTTCTACCAGTCTGTTTATTGCACTCAGATTTGGCCTATGCGACAATATCGTTTTCAGTAATTTCCCCAGGAGCTCTTATATGCCTTTGTACCTTATGGATGATGAAGACTTCTGTTCCTAGTCATTTCTGCTATGTTTGAACTTGTTATAATTTGTAGTTTGTTGCAGTCAGTCCTGTTTCCAGTCAGTTGTGCATTTTGGACCTTATGGATGATGAAGACTTGTTATAATTTGTACTTTGTTTGAACTTGTCTTTTTAAATAAGCTAGTTTGTTTCGGAGGATGGTTTTCAGTCTGTTCTGTTATGTTGTTTTTTAGTTTAGATTGAGATAGTGCTTCCTGCGCTCATCCTTTTTGCTTTTGTCTGTGTGTATGTCGTCATTTTTAGATTTTGGTTGTTTTGTTGCTTTTTTTATATCACTAGTTGTTTTGAAGGGACAGAACAATTGAATATTGAGGCTACATAAATTTGGGTGTTTTGTTGCTTTGAAATAACTGGTTGTTTTCAAGGGACAAAACAACTGAATATTTGAGGCTACAAAATTCGGTTGTTTGGCTTCCTCAAAATAACCGGTTGTTTGCAAGGCAAGAAACAACTGAATGTTCGATAGATAGACTAAAAAAAACTGATGATTCACGGCAACAATTACAAATCTGATCTCTCTCCGTGTGATCAATTTGCACAATTGCACTTGAGCACTTCACGTCTTCACGATGCCGGCGTGGAAAAAAAACGCAGACGATGGAGACTGCCGCCGTCCGCCGTGCTTTCCGTGCCCGTGCGTGCAGCGGGGCCGGCCGGTAGTAGGCCGGCAGGGGAATAGCGGGAGACCGCCGCTGCGGCGCTGCTCGCATCGTAGGGAGCAGGATCGATCCATGAGACGATGATCCACGATCGACGATAGGGAATTAGGGATCTCCTGTGGCCAGTGTGACATCCGTGAGTCCGCGTCTTGATGGATGGGAGTCTCGAACCGAGCGGAGACGTGCATGCGCTACTGCGGCGGTTTCTGGAGAGTCGCCCAATCATCGAGCGTCCGAGCACGCGGAGCGACAGCACGAACTATGGACTCGGACTCCGTAGACGTACGTGGGCGGAGGGAAGGGACGTGGGCCTAGCCGCGTAGGGAAGCGAGGCGATTACGATGGGCGGGGCGGCGCTGACGATAACATTAAGTATTTTTAGGTGTAATATATAATACTCTAGAGAAGATATAAAATAGTTTCAGACCGAATTCATCGGGGAAATTTGGGAAGCATGAGCACGTGTCGACGTTTTTCGAAGACTGTTCTCTTTTTTTTCTTTTTTGAAAGAAAATTCGAAGACTGTTCTCGTCAGGTTAGATTTGGGAAATAGTAAAAGTGGTGTTCTCCTCAGGCAAGGCCCCACAAAACCAGAGGCCAGCGTCTCACGTCGCGCCACGCGTGGGCCCATACCGTCAGGCGAATGGCCCACATCGTCTTCCTCCGCACGGCCGCCGCCGACCTCACCGCCGGGAAGCCGCCGCTGCGGGGCGTCCCGGCCTCGGCGCCGCTCTCCGCGGCGGCCGCGGCGATCCCGGCGTCGCAGGAGGCCGACGTGGCCGTCTGGCGCGACGGCGCCTCGCCCCTGGCGCCCGCCGCGGCCACCGTCATCGGCCTGCTCAGCTCCCTCGACGTCGTCGCTTTCCTCGCCTCCCACCTCGGCGACGCGGCAGCGGCGATGAGGACCCCCGCCGGCGACGTGGTGGCGCACGAGCCGGCGCTCGTGCGGGAGGTCGAGCCCCACACAAGGTGACGCGCGACACATCATTTGGAATAAACTCGGTCGTTCCCTCCTTGACCCATGTCATTTCTTGTCTAATCAAAATAACGTTCATGATCATCTTCTCTCTACAAGCCACATTTCATCGCATTTTCTTTGCGTTCATCTCGTTGTACAATCAGGGAAATGCCAATGCCATTGCGTGTCAATGTGATTCAGCTTTCAATTCGTGCGTGCAAGGTTGATCGAAATAGTGGAGCTAATGAAGCAAGGAGCAAGGCGGGTCCTGGTGCGCAAGAACATCTCGGAAGCGTGCACCGTCGTCGACAAGAAGCCGTTCGCGCCATTCTACAAGGCCGTGCTGAAGATCACGGGGACGCCGAGGGCGGCAGCCTCGGCGAAGGCCGTCGGCCGGCCATCGCCGCCGTCGGCGTTCGGCTGCGACAGGTACTGCTGCCTGACGCGGGAAGACATCATCCGCTTCCTGATCAACTGCCTCGGCGCGCTGGCGCCGACCCCGCTGCAGTCCATCTCTCCCTCGGCGCGGTCAACCGCAGCTACGCCCACGTGGAGGCATCGTCGCCGGCCATCGAGTCCTCCTGGAGGGTCCCTTCCGAGCCCCGCGCCGTCGCCGTCGTGCAGACGAACCGCGACGGCTCGCACAAGGTCCTGGCCGACGTGTCCGCGCACAGGCTGTGGCGGCGCGACTACGCTGCCGCCGCGGACTCGATGGCGAGCCTGTCGTCCCTCAACTTTGCCGCGGGAGTCGACGGCCACGGCATGGTGGCGCCGGGTGAGGATGACGACGCGAACGTCGCCGCGCCGTCGCCGAGGTCGTCGAGGCTCGGCGGCGGGAAGGCCGCGTTCGAGGCCAGCCTCGTCGGCCAGATGATGATGGCGAGCCACGGCGGGAACGCGGCGCTGAGGTGCAGAAGCACCAGCTCGCTCGCCGCCGTCATGGCGCAGATGCTGTCGTACCGGACCACGCACATCTGGGTAACTGACGGCGAGGATGACGTCTTGGTTGGCGTTGTTGGTTACACGGAGATCTTCAATGCGGTCACCAGGGGTGTTGCTCCTCCACCTCCAGCTTGAGTGTTCATTCTAATTTGATTGGTTTTTGCTACATTGATGATTTGTAATTTGAATTTAAGTAAGCTTATTGTAGTTCTCCCAACTTTTAACGTCTTTCCTGTTGGTATTAGATGACTCAGTGATAGGGCGCAACTGAGCATATACTTTGGGTCAAAAACATGACCTGTCTCCATTTTTTGAACAGAGAAAGTTTATTTCTGTTATCCCCATGCTCAGGCATTATGACTATTTCTCGGCAATAAGCAATTCAAAAGGCTTAAGACCTCAAGAAGGTGTCTCATCATAAGTATATATTCTAAAATGATGAATTACAATATCTTTATAATCATCTCCAGCTAGAATCAACAGAATGGAAATTCAAATACACCTTTCTGTTTAGAGGAAATTCAAATACAGATACAGATATCTGACAGTGAAAACAAATATCCTTAACAACTGTAGTGCCACTACACAGGAACATTACACTAATCCTTCCTCAGTTCAATGCACTCTCGGTGTGTGCCAGAGCTGTTGATGACCACAATTTCCAATCTATCACCCTGCAAATTTCATGGAACAACAATATTGGATTCAGAAATTTGGTTAATCATCACTAATAATCTCTGGAAATCTAAAGAGCAAGAAAGGTAACATACAGTGTATATGTCTCGTTCAGTAGCTGATGCAAAAACGTCCTTCACCAGATCAACCGCATCAGATTCAGATAAGGGTGTCACTGCATCCTGAACGAGAAGCAACTTTGTGTTAAAAGTTCTGTTCATTAAGAATGATACGTTACAACTCATACACAGTTCTTTGTTCTCATGTGCTTATCATTGGCTCCTATGGGCCATTGCAAGGCTAACAAAGCATCCATATAAGTGGGAGTAAGCAGTTCAAATCTAAGAGAGCCTTTCCTTTTGAAATTGAAATTTGTGATAGCTAGAACTCACCTGAGCTGGCAGTAGGAGAGGACTAGGGATTTCAACTGGTTGTCAAGAACAGGCATCATCAACGCTGAACCTGTTCCCTGAGCACTATAACCTGTCCTCTCATAAGACCCAACAGCATCGTATGTAAAGACACATCCTTTACCTGTCATAGGAGAAGAGATGCTAAGAGGCATGATCACATGATCACATTGAACGGTCAATGTAAATTAGTACTTAAGTCATACTCTACCTTGGGTGTCCAGTCCGGCCAACACATTGAAAGTGTAGTATGGGAAGAATCTCTTGTAGTAGAGTGTGTTTGACAGAAGTTGAGCCATTGCTGGGCAGCTCATCTTCTTGTTATTGTTGTGTTCATAGATCTGAAAAGGTGAAAATGCAAAAAAAATCACAAACCTGTACTGATATGGTTCAGGGTGACACAACACTTACCTGCATTATTCTAGCTAGCTACATTGCCAATGTAGTCATGATCAAAACTGAATAATACAGAGCTGTTGAAAACACCATTCTTAGGAACTGGTGGTCCTTTTCTCAGGGAAAGTTCAAGCACAGAGTTTTCTTTCTTAGGATACACGACCTCTCAGTTTTAAAATTTAAGAGAAAAATGGAACACATGACATGGTCAACACTCAACATATAATTCATCTGAATATCACGTTATTGCAATATAATAAGGTTGATGTGGTCAACCGCAAGAACACAATAACCTTAACGGAGGTCTCACAACTAGTTCAACAGCTCAAGGAATCAATAGCCTTAGTGACTTACTAGTTCCTTAGCAGCCAGAGCCTTCTGCAAAGCTTTGATATCACCTTGGAACCCAGACGAGGCCAAAACACATTTGTCTGCCCTGTTCGCAAGGAAACAGAGAGAACATTAGCAATTCAGCACATCGATTCAGTGACAATATTAGAGAGGCGTTTCTGTGACTACATAAAAATAAGGCAGGTTCACTTTGGAAGAAAATTTGCCGAGAGAATGTTAAAATCACCAAGCTGCAGTCCAAAACAAATATTATATGATGGTTACTTCTAAAATTTGTATATAATGATAGATGTTTTGGACTAATCATTTTTTTTCATCTATAAATACAAATCCCATTTAGGACTAGGCGCCATATTTTGTTCTGTTCCCACAATGTAGTTCAAAAACACGGTAGATCCTGATAGCACCATTATATGAGTTTCTTTATATTCATACAGAAAATACTATAGGTCATGATAGCACCACTATAAGCTCCGTCTTTAGAACACATGCAATTCGACTAATGGTAATTTTGACAACTTATTAAATTCAAATCCGTGGTTAAATATGTTTCGAAGACCATTAACATATCCAGAGGCACTCGAAATTGTGACCAGATTAGTAGCAGTGAAGTTTAGCCTAAAGTGTTGCAAATTCTCAACGAACTGAATACTGAACACTAAATTTCAGAATAGAATAACTGATTTCCAGCCGTAATGAAACAGTGGCAGAGGAGGCACAAATCATAATTGGAAGCACACGCGAGGCCCTACAGCACTAACCGAACCCAATGCCGGGGAGTGGGATCTCAATTCAGAGCTACCGAATTCGACCCAAGTCTGTATGGACTCTGAAATCAACAATACATACATGGGACGGACGGCAAGAGAGAGGCTCAGAAACATACAGCTGGGCGATCTTGGAGTGGTCGCGGGAGAGGATGCTGTAACCGACGGAGAGGCGGGTGTCGGCGGCGACGACGCAGTAGTCGGCGCCGGCGACGGCCACGCACGTGCCGCCGTTGTTCTCGTACGGGTCGAACCTCGCCATCGCCTCTGCTCCCGAGATTCAGTGGTGCTGCCCTCACGCCTTGGCGACGCTGCTTGTGTGCTTCGGTGGCGGTCGGATCTCTTCTGAAAATTCTGAGGCGCGGTCAGGGAAGGGGAAGCGGGGGCTCTCTCGCTTTGCTTATAGGCGGCTCCGGCACCGGCACCCCCGCGAAAGTCGAGTTCTTCACGGGATCTTTCTTCTTGTGCTGCAAGAAGAGGATCCGGCTCGGTTGCTTTCTTCGGGATGGACTCGTGGTGGGCTTAGATGGGCCAAATTTCTGACTATAAACTCGTGGCAGTAGCCTAATAGGCCTGATGGGTTAAACGGCGGAAAAAGTCCATATTACCTCCCTCAACTTTCACGAAAGTCTGCCTCTCTGAACTCTAAAACCGCACAAATCACCGTTAGTTTTACCTCCCTAACCGGTTATAAGCGGTTTTCAAAGGCAGTTTTGTCTTTTTCTTTTTTATTTATTTTGGTTGAATCTTTGAAAAATCATAGTAAATCACAGAAAAATCATAAAATGAAAAATACAATTTTGTTGGACTCCACATGAGTAGATCTACACAGTAAACATATAATAGGGTATACTTAAGCATAATTTTTTTGCTGTAGCTTTAGATCTATGTTTTTTTTAATTAATTCATAGCTGCAGTTTTTATGGTCCAATTGTGGTGAAATTTTTATTGTGGGCTAATTATTGTATGCTTGAACTGTAGTAAAAATTTTATACTGATTGGATCATATATAACTTAGTTATAGATTTATAAATTCTTTTTAACAAGCATACACCTAAAAAAAACTATAACTAAGTTATACATGATATAATGAGTATGAAATTTTTACTACAGTTCAAGCACACAATAATTAGCCCACCATAAAATTTTCACCATAATTGGACCATAGAAATTACAGGTATGAATTAATTATATAAAAGCATAGATCTAAAGCTACAGTAAAAAATGTACTAAAACATACCATATATTATATGTTCACTATGTAGATCTACTCATGTGGAGTTCAACAAAATTGAATTTTCTATTTTATGATTTTTCTGTGATTTACTATGATTTTTTAAAGATTTAGCCGAAATAAATAAAAAAGAAAAAGACAAAACCGCCTTTGAAAACCGCTTATAACCGGCCAGGGAGGTAAAACGAACGGTTTTAAAAGTTTAGGGAGGTTGTTTACCTAGTTTTAGAGTTCAGGGAGGAAAAACATATTTTTGAAAAGTCAAGGGAGGTAATATGAATTTTTTCCTTAAACGGCTAGAATACCTACATGCCATCTGTGATTATAGGATGTGATTGGTAAATTCTAGGGCGTCTGAATCCATCCATATACAGGAAGAAGACTGAGGATGCAAACTAGCATAAGCATTGTAGGTTGAGGAATTAATCTTCTAAGGGAAATGGGCTTGATCTATGAGAACTTTTTTCTTTACCGTGTTGTTTTAATCTTTTAAAGATGATTGGTTTGGTCTTTTTGATAGTGACTACATGCGCTCTAGACATCTTAAATTCTTACTATAAAATATGACTGTGCTTTGCAATTGGAAAAACTCATCACACTTTTTGTAATAATCTTTTCTTTGTCGCTAGTTTTCTATATGTTAAAATAATCATTAGCATTTTTTTTATTTGTTGCAGAGGGCAAGCTTCGATTTGTTTATATAACCTTTTAAGGATTGGTTTTTAATTTCTCATGTACATATGTAACTCTTTTTAGCCTGAGACATAAACCAAATGTAAAAATGAAATAAACGATTTGAATTTGTGGCAGTTCAGCCGGCCTTATCTAGATATGTGTTGAGGAGAGTAATTGTTTCTACTGAGCAGGCTCATATGTCATATGTCATAGGTGCCTTAAGGAAATGGACCAACTTCATATGCATCTAGTATTTTGCATCTTTTTTTTCCTCCATTGGGTGTTTAGCATCTTAGCTTACAAGAGAAGGGCGAAGCATCTGGAAACACACAACACACACAGAGAGCAGTTCATTTCAGCCCATTCGTGAGCACCAAAAAGAGCCTCCAAGAGAGAAGAAGAGGAAAAAGAGGGAGACAAGAGAGGCGATCTTGTAATAGATCAAAAAGGATTCGTCCCAAAGGTTTTGAAGCTGCAGATCCACATTCTTGGTACATATTATTTGAGTTCCATCATTATTTGGTGAGGTCTTTCTTCACCCTAAGTAGCAGTCCTAAATCTTATTGTTGTTGTTCAAGATCTGTAAATGTTTGTATAGTTGCCTCTAGTATTGTCAAGAGACGAACTAGTTGTAATCCCACTGGCACGATCATATGGTTTTTACCCCGATTTTGGGTTTTTCGCGTTAAATTTGATGTCTTGTTGTTGAGGTGAAGAGTGGCTGCAACTAGTTGCAATTGTTGATAGAGTGATTAGCTGCAACTAGTTGTGGCTGGATTTTTATCTTTGTTGTGATCAGTTATAACTACATTTGATAACTTAATGTGATGACAACAGGTTGCAACCAGTTGTGACTACTGCCATTTCCTCCATTTATATGTGATATATAAGTTTTCTTGGGCTAATTTCATATTATAGTGAAATTAGTGTTTTCGCTGTTACTAACGAGCTGTGTTAGTGTGGTAATTCCAATGGGCCCTTTTGTGCCTATACAACACACAAACAACCTATTCACCAATACCAATCTTATCATGGTACGTCAACAGCCACAAGCACGTTTAGAGTCAGGACCCACGCTATACATGCATGAGTATTATATTATATTGACTAGCAAACATGTCCTTTGTTGCAGTAGAATCCAGTAAGTATAGGAATCGGACTCTGCATCATCGTTAATGTGAGTTGTTCTAATTTGTATGAGCATCGACAACATATCCGAAATACCTACAAGATACGGAGGGCACGACCCAACATAGGAATTAGACCATATATCCATCGTCGTTAGACGCAAGTTGTTTTAACTTATATGAGTATGTTTCATAATATAAGTCCAGGTCAAGAAAAAAAACAGGACAAAAGAAGTTCTCCACTGTCCGGTTAGTTAGGGTAGGTGGACAAAAAAATAGATGAAATTTTGGCTCTTTAATATTAAACATAGATTAATCCATGACATATATATATATATATATATATATATATATATATATATATATATATATATATATATATATATATATATATATATATATATATATATATATATATATATATATATGATTTGGCTTAGAGCGGGTTTGGCACGGCTCTATATGTCGCTGCTCATCCACGGGAGCCGAGAGGTCAGAGCACCGAAACATGGCTCCACATTCATACACCTAAAAACAACTTCAGACTCCTCTGTTCGATACTCACAAGTGTTTTTTCTCGCACTTGTATTTGCTGCGGCTTCTTCGGCTCCGGTGCAGAAGCTGCCGGCGAAGCCGAAGCCAGAGCGGCACTAAACAGCGCCTTAGAGTCAAACGCTTAGAGATCTGGTGCTTCTAGAAGCGTTGGAAGAAAAAACTACGCTATTTAATGTTAGTGTTTTTTTCTTTAAATTAAAAAAGGGTTTACTCTATATTACTTTAAAAATGCCATTCCAACAATAAGCACGAGGCAATGGATTTAAGCCAAGCACTTCGTATGCGTACGAGTACGACGCCTAAGCTAGCAGTACGTACACGACCCATATGACATCAACCTTTAACCAAAAATCACTGCATAAAGTTTAATTTTGGGTTGCCGCCGGGTAAGGCTGGGAAAAAATAACAGACAACCGAGAACCAAACCGAAGGAACCGGAACCGAAACCGAAAGAACCGGAACTGAAAATTTCAGTTAGCTGTTCGGTTCTAAGTTCTTAGGAACCGAATTAACTGATCAAATTTCGGTTCCTAGGCTCGGTTAACCGAAATAACCGAAGGAACCGAAATTCACAAACAAGCCTAATAAACCTTACAACCTAGGCTTAATACCAACTTAACCCTAGATATAAAAGGTGAATGACACCCCCTCACAGCCTCACATCCTCATATTTTTTAAAATCTCGGCATTGTGCTTTTTTTTAAATCTTTTTTCCTATTTTTCTATTCTATTTTTTTGCTACTTGTGTAAATCCTCGGTTAGTTTGGTCGGAACCGGAACCGAACCGAACTAACCGAAACCGATTTTGCTCGGTTCCAAGATTTGCGAAGAACCGATCAGTTCCTATTTATAGAGAACCGAATTTATGTCATAAACCGAAGAACCGAACCGATCGGTTTCGGTTAACCAAACCCCCATGGCCGGACTTCCGAGAGAACAAGCAAAGGACGGTCGTACGCACGTCGTACACAAAAAAAGGGTATCTACGTGTCGTCATTTCGCTAACTAAGCTTGATGTGAAAATGACATGCTGCCTTTTCTTTCTTGAAATACGAATCTTTGTATTAATATAAAAAGAATATTTTAAAAGTACAACAGCGCGGCCCTCCTAGAGGACACGGCAACATACAATGTGTTTTTCGTTCACGAATTGAGATCATCCGGCATGAGTTGCTCTCGCATGCAAGTAGAATGAGTTCGGTTCGCCGTTTTTTCTTAGAAAAGACGCACCCTTCGTAATTGTCAAGCCGTTGTCTTGCGGAATCGCTATGCAGAACATCTTTGTGGCGAAGAGATCCAGCTCACACTACCAACCAAACAAATTAGCTAGGTTTGGTCCCCGGATCGAATGATCCGGCACAGAGTCATTTTGCAAACCAAACATATTCTGCCCTTAGGGCAGCTCAAGCAAGAGGCCATGTCATTAACTGATTTTATAGATGCATCTTAGTATTTTGCTTACGTACAAGATATAAAGGAAAAAGAAAATAGAGAGAAGAGCTGACTCATATTTCCGCGCTAGTGCTTAGACAGACTCCGATGCGTGCTCCATGGCCGACCATCCCACTTCGGCTGGCGCCACCCACGATTGAGTGGGGGAGGGGTGGGAAATTTTTTTATTTTTAACATTTTTTTAATCTAATTTTAAATCTAACACTATTTAATTTTTTT